TCAGCCGCAGCTCCGTGTGGAAGTAGTCCAGTGCCGTGCCTGCCTGAAAGATAATCTGCGCTAGATGGCGATGGCTGAAGGCGCCGTGCTTCATGATCCAGTCCAGCAGGCACGGCCCATACTTTGGCATCACAATGCACATGTGGCTGGTCTCGTTCTGAAAGTAGCGCTGGATCTTCATCAGGGAAAAGCGGTCGGCGGGGTCTGACTGGCGCACCTTCTCCATAAACTGAATCTCAATCTTCGCATCCCGCGTGTACTTGGGCACGTTACGCACAATCTTCACAGCACAGTACTCCTTGCGCTTGCGGTCCCACGCCTCTACCACCTTGCCGAAGGTGCCTTCCCCCAGCAGTGAGAGGATCTTGAAGCGCTGCGTCGACACGTCAATGTCCTCGCCGAGCACCACATAGAAGTGGCCCTCCTCGCGGCTTTGGTTCGGGAGAATGTATGTCACTTTTGGATGCTTCCGGGCGGGTGCCAAGGTATCTCCTCCACGGTCCGCTTTTTGCTGCACTGACGCTCCAACGGCGGCGGTAGTCGTTTTTTGTTTGGCATCCTTATTTTCCGTCTTCGAATACCCAACGTCGGTGGAGGCGGCAGTCTCGCGGTCCCGCTTGCTGCCGGAGCGACGCGTTAAGAGCTGTTCCTCCACGTGCGGCTGGTAGGCGTACTCCTGTCTGTGCTGCGTGGTTGCCGGGGCGAGAGCGGCTGCTCTCTGCTTTGGGTTTCCCCCAGAGGCAAAATGGTAGTAACCCGCCTCGTTCATGTTTGTTACCGTGGAGAGGCACGGCACCGACGGCAGCGCGGTGGAGCGGACGGCGAAGGATGCCATACAAGCCACAGTGGAAGGACTATTAAATTAAACCAACACAACGTAATGGGTGTTTGCTCGTTTGCAATATGCCCCCGTCCCTGTTGCGGCCGGTACGTAAGCTTCCCCCCACTACACACACTCTAACAGACACGCCAAGGAGCGGATATATATATATATATATATATATATATCCTTTAGTTTTTAAAACTTGTGTTGAAGTGCTCTGCAAGCTGCCGCACTCCTTTGCTTTTAGTAGTGTGAAGGGTGTGAGTGTGCGTGCTGCCCCCCTTTACTGCCTGGTTATTCTATTTTCGCCCCTCGCTGCCTTACCCCTCTCACTTCTTCCCTACGAGCTCCTCTTTTTTCGGCGTTCGGCCCCTCACGGCAACAGAAGAAGCGGCGGTGCGTGACAGAGCACGCATACACAGCGAGAGTGAGAGAAAAAAGAAAGGAAGAACAACAAGGACAGGATGGAGTAAAAACATCCACGAAACTACTTGCCACCACGGAGCGGGATATGAGACAAGCTGCAGACCACTTCACTACCAAAAAAGACGCCTTCCTCTCTCCTTGTGGACACACATACATATATTTCTATGCAATGTATTTATGTATGCACCCGGTTTTTCTTTCTTCTTTTCATTTTCTTACTTTTCGTCCAGGATCTAAGATGTCGGCAGACATCAATGTGTTTGCTTTCCCTCCTTTTCCTTTCCTATCTCCTCTCGGCGTGGCAGGAAAACGTCTGGGTGTTGCGGTGCCGTGTGCCACTGCACGCCAGAGCTGCCTAGCACCAACACACACACACACACACACACACACACCAGGGAGGGGGCCACCCGAAGAGCACCTCGCGCCTGCCTCCCGGCGGCCCCTCACTTCCCCCTCTCTCCGTCATTTTATTTGTGTCCCACGTAACCGAGACGCGCTAGACGCCACACACACATACACACACACGCATGGACAGTGCTTGGGTGAGTGGAGCATACTTCAGGCGCAGGAGGGTTGCATGCTCGCAACTGAGTTTCCATATGGAGGGGGAGGGGGGCAGGGAAGGAGCAAATCGGCGGCATCCATCCATGCATTCCCTCCTTTTTTTTTCTTCCTCATTATTTTCCTGCCATAAAAAATCTCTCCTGCTTCTCTCCCCCGCCGCAGTGTGCAGCCAACGACTCCCGCCTCTTCGCGCACAGCTGCAAACTCACTACGCCGTCCACGTTCTTGACGCTGCCACCTCGGCACCCCTCCAGACACACCCACAGAGAGCGACGCAGTGGACCACAGTCCAAAGGCTCAATGGAGAAGTGGCAGTAACCCCAAGCACCCACGCAAGAGAGGAGAGGGGTGGGGTGACAGAAGACATACAAACCAACAAACAAAACAAAACAACATGCGTGAACGAAAAGCAAAAACACAAACACAAACAAAAACAAACTCTAGAGCTTCTAACAATAGCAACAATACAACCAAACAAACCCACAGATACAGAGCAGTTACAAACCAGCAGAGCAGACCCGCAGGCGCCTTCATCCACCGATGCCCCCCACGCCACACCACCGCACGCCAACACGGCGTCACTAGATACTTCAGGCAATGGAGTTGCGTGCGCGGGAGACACGGGCGAGGTGAAGTGGAGAAGAGTGGCCAACCACCTCACCAAGGGGGAAAAAGAAGTAGTGGCGGGGTGCTCCATGAGAAACGCACGGCGAGCGACCTCTCGCTGCATGTGCCTCCCCCTTTCTACAACCGCCAACAACACAAAATAATAATAATAATAAATGAGTGAGGCGTACGACAGGAAAGGCAGCACGCGTGCATGCATCTCTCCAACGGAAACCATCCCCCCACTCCACCCCTGTTTCCCTCGCACACACACACGAGGATGCAACACCGTCACACGCCTCAGTCTCACTTGCGTGCGCCAAGTTATTTTCCTGCTTCTGCCTCTGCCTCTTCCAGTGTGCTGCTGCTGCTGTTGATGCTGCAAATAGTGGTGGTACAAAGAAATGCCCATATTTATAAGTTACACCATCACGCCTCACCCCACTCCACCCCCGCCTGAGTGCTGGAGCAGCGTACCGCATCATAACTACAGCGGCACACCAGCTCTCGTCAACTGTGCGTGTGTGTCCATGGGGAAAGGAACAGCGTATGAGTCCATGGCCGCAGGTGAAAATACACAACAACATTACTCACCCTTCATCCTCATCCTCAACGTACACACACACACACACACACAGTGACACACAAAATGCAAACAAACAAAAAAACCACTTCCCTACCCAACCCGAAAAAAAAAAAAAGCCATCACCAACAGCCGTAGCCAAAACAAAAAAAAAAAGGAGCCAGAGACGTGCTCCTGAAAAAAAGTGCATCCGGCCTCAGAACACGCGGCGAAAGCAAGGGCATGGGCATGACTTCTCTTTCCTTACCTCTTTTCATTCCAAGTACCAAAAGTTAATAAATACAGTCAGCCCCAATAAATGTTCACAATGACTCCCACACCCTATCCTCCCCATTCCAACCATCCACGCCTTAAAAAGACCGTGAATGCGACACAACTCACATGAGCGGTGTGGGGCGGAGGTTTGGGCGGTTGTCTGGGAAGTTGGGGTGCTGGCGCGCCTCCGGGTAGTACTTCAGCACGTACGGGTGCATCGTCATCTGTCGCGCCGTCAGACGCTTCTGACGATCGAAGTGCAGCAGGCCGTGGATGAGGTCGCACAGCAGCTTGTCGGAGATGACCTCACGCACCGGCCGTGCCCGAGCAATACGGGCAAGATGCTTTGGGTCGATGCAGGGACGCAGCTGCGCCACGGAGTTGTACAGCTGGCGCGCCTCCTCTGTGCCGCAGCGCCCCGCCCACTCCGGCGGAAGGCGGCCAAGCGTCTTCTCCATCAGGTGCAGATGCTCGAGGTTGTCGTGGGTGTCGTACAGCAGCTTGCCTGTGTGAAGCTCGTAGATGATGCAGCCCATGGACCACATGTCCGTCGAGTACATCCACCCC